CAGGTTAGAACCCATGAGCACTCCCAGACTAATCACGCACAACAGAGACAACAAAATGGTCTCTTGTGAAGCCAGGGTCTTATGCATCCCCCACATGATATCAAAGTCGGATAGCACTTTTCAGTGTAATTCTTCACTTCTGGGTAAACTGTCGACCTTCAGATGGTCAGGCCCACAATTATCCTGGGAGCAGATGTACAATATCAAGATGAAAATGGACTTCCAGGCTCACAAACGCGAACTCAGCAAATGAGAAGGCAACAGCCACTACAATGGCCTAGGAAAGAATACCACAACGACGGGTCCCACGCAGAGTTAAACTTACTCTCCTCTAGGGCAGCCAAACACGAAACACAGATATAATCAATCCATAGAAACTAGGTATTTTGTCTTATAATGCCTTATCAAGGGTTTCTGTCCCTCCTAAGCACCAAGCCTCTTGGGTTTGTTCTCTTGTTTGGTGCTAACCAAAGGATTTCATTGCTCAATTTTGAGAATTTAGATAGAACAAAACAGTCAGCATCAAGGAGAAAATACACTCCCCTCTTCCTTTCCAGCCACAGGACACACAGCATGCACTTATCATTCTGAGAAGTAGTGAGTGGAAATAAGCATGCGGGGGTGCTCTTCACTCTCACTATCGTTTTGTCTGGTTCTAGAGACAGAGTGTAGTACCAGGTGACTTTGAACTCTGGGTTCTCCTGTTTCAGCCTGCTGAATGCTAGGATTGCAGGTATTCACCGCCATGCCTGCTTAACAAAGACATCTTTTAAGATAACTGAATGGTCATTTGTTGTCTCAGAAATAATACTTAAAATTACTTGTGGAATGTTTTCTCTTTAGTAATAAATCAATTCATTCATTCATTCATTCATTCATTCATTCATTCATTCATATGGGCTCTCTCTACAGAGCCCTGGCTGTGCTGAACTCACTATATATAAGACCAGACTGGCCTCAAAATCAAAGATCCACCCTCCCAAGTTCTGAGATTACAGGCTTATGCCACCATGCTCTGCTAACATCTGCTGCTCTTGCAGAGAATGGCATGGTGGCTCACAACCATCCAGAACTCCAGTTCCCGAGGATCCAAAGTTTAATTCCAGTAGCTTCATGACCATTCTGCTACATTTCAGTCCTTCGGGCTCCCAGGAACCTGCTCTGTTCACTGGTCATAGCCCGGAGTGTAACCCCAATTAGTGTACATACTAGGGAGTCTGGTCACTATTCTAATAGTAGCATAGTTTTTCCCATTGTTAGTCAGTTTATCAAGATTGGCATAGCACAAACATGTACTTCAAATCACAAAACCCCTGTGCTGTCTATAGTTTTATGTCAACTTGACACAAACTAGAGTCACTAGAGAAAAGAGAGCCTCAACTGAGAAACTGCCTCCATAAAATCTGGGCTTTTGGCAGGCCTGTAGGGCATTTTCTTAATTAGTGATTGATGTGGGAGGGCCCAGCAGGTAGGGCCACCCCTGGGCTGCTAGTCCTGGGTTCTATAAGTAAGCAGGCCGAGCAAGCCTGGGGAAGCAGGCCAGAGTGCAGCCCTCCTCCATGGCTTCTGCATGGTTGGAGGCTCCTGCCTCCAGGTTCCTGTCCTGCTTCAATTCTTGCCCTCACTGGTTTTGATGAGAACTGTTCTATGGAACTGTGAGTGAAATAAACCCTTTCCTCCCCACATTGCTCTTGGTCATGCTATTTCATCACAGCAATGCTAAGACAGCCGTTTCCATCCTCTCTTCATTTCACAGTGATCCTACTTTATAGTTTTGTTTTACTTCCTGGATATTTATTTAGAAACCATCCAGAAACACTGAACACAACTACTTTAGGTAGGTATGACTTGACTGTTTTGCTATGAAACTTGAACCATACTTGAATAATGAAATAAATAGAAGGTAGACTGCTGAGCAAGCACAAAAGCCATGTCTTTGCCATCTGTAATGTCCTCAGCTCAGGAAAGCACACCTTTACAACTTGCTGACTCTCAGAGAACTGGCACTACCTCATTTTTAGCAAGAATGGCTTCCTACTTCCTTCCTAGAAAAGGCAATTATCTTGACTAGATGCTTGTTACAGAAAAGCCAAGCCAGCGGAAGAAGTATCTAATACATTTCAAACATCACACTGACCATGGGAGCACTTTATCATCTCTAAGCCCCCAAAACCATGCAAAATGGGGTTCAAGTTAGCTCTGACATCAAGCAAATAAGCCAGTTTCTATCTTCCCAGGATTCAAGTAGGTGTCTAGGGATGTCAACATGTCCACAGCTGTAGAAGCTGGCGGTGAACACACAACAACAAACCCCCGCAGAGCTGGGAGGGAAACAAAGTCCTGGAATCCAGTAGCCACCAGAACTCTGGGAGACCCTCTATCAGACGCAGCCAGCCCTTCCAGCTCTGAGTCTCCATTCATGCTGCACTGGGAGGGAGCCTGATAGCAGAGCAGCCCCTTCTTTTCACTGCTGAAGTTCCCATCCTAATTCTGCTTCACATCACCACCAGGGACACTGTCTTCCTCTAAGTACTCGGTGTCCTTTTCCTTGCCCGGAATTACTCTAGAGCAATAAAATCGCTCCTGCATGGCAGACCTTCAAATGTCTGAAGAACCATTAGGACACAGAGGTCTGTCTTTCCCTGCCAAATGCTTCTGCGGGATGAAACATCAGAGCCTACCTAGCTGGTCTGGAACTTGCACTTGCAACATCTTCCGTATGTTCAGCACTGCAGGGTGCCTCACCACTGCCCTCAGAGTATATGAAGTTCAGAAGATAGTTAATCTTAGTTAATAAATGTGTCACCCAGTATGCATTAGGATCTATTTATGGCTGACCTTGTTTTTAGATAGAAAAAAAAAGCTCTGCATATCTTCTTGCCAGAAATATGAGAGAATGCTTTACAAGTATTTCTTAAAAGCATCGACATCATAATTAACGTCAGTCCTGCTGCAAACACATCCTGACAATTATTTAATGAGGTTAAAATCGATTTTCCAACATAGGACAGATGAGAGTTAAGAACCCAGAATGAGTGAGCTGTTCTAAACAAAGGATTCATGAGCTTCTTTGAAAAGAGTCAAGGTTGAAAGAAATGTCAAATTTCTAAAACACCAATTTGAGATGTTTAAGTGTGTTATCAGGGAAATTCTGGTCCATGCAAATCATTGTTCTATACTTTAAAATATAGCTAAACCAGGGCTGGGGCTAGAGCTCAGTAGATCCCTGCCTTCATCCTTCAACACTTCAGAGACAAACAGAAAAATCTAAACAAAACGGATTCATTATGCTACAGAGGAACAATCCAAACTATTTTAAGGCTTTTCTGTGATGGTATATATGTATACACATACGAAATAAAGACGCACACGTCTTAAAGCCTTTCTTCCAAACATATTAGAATATTCAGCCATTTTGGTGAACAGTTAGCTAAAGGGAAAACACGAAAAACTGGAGGTGAAAGTCACTTGGAATGCTAGCATCTAAAAATCCTTACAATTCAATGGCGATAGAATGCCAGGGAATTCTTGGCTGTGCAAATAAAATAATGCCAATGCTATTTAAATGAATTTCAAACTTAGTCTGTGATCCTGGTTTTAACTAACTTTCCTTCCTTTCTTCTTTTCTTTCTTTGACACAGGGTCTCACAGGGTCTAGCCTTGGGCTCGTCTGGAATTCTCTATGTAGTACAGGCGAGCCACTAACTCGGAGATCTACCGGCTTCTGTCTCCCGAGAGCAGAAATTTAAAAGGCGTGCGCCATCACGCCCGGCTGCTTTAACACTCCTAAGGATGTCTGCAAGCCTGTACTTTGTTATGAAACCGATCAGTTATGCCACCTGTCACAGAGCACGGTCCCATTTTTCTCCCCGGGTACCTCACTGTCATCAGTGGACTAGACCGTGGCAGCTAAAGATACTTGAGGCTTGACATTAGCCCGCAGGGCCGGGTCGAGCCCGAGGGAACCGCAACCCAGAGCTGCTGCCCGCTACCTGCGAGCGTGACCAGCGTGCGCCTCCGCGGGTCCCGGGAGCTCAGGGCAGAGTACTTACGCGGAGCCACCCGGTCGCCAGGGCTGCAGGTCCGGGAAGCGGCAGGTGTGACGCGGGCGGGCGGCTGACGCCCGCAGCATCCCGCCGGCTTGGGGCCGGACCCCGGGGCGCTGCCCCGCACCTGCAATGCGGCTCGTACCCGGCCCGGGCCGGCGGTTGCAGCCGTTGCGCCGCGCCTCCCCCGCCGCGCCGGTGCGCAGCCTGGCTCCAAGCCCCGCGAGCGAACCTCAAGGATTCTCGATCAGCGCAGGTGCGCGCCTCACCTGCCACGGTCCCTCGGGCGGCTGCGGCGCTCGGCCTGCTCCTCGCGGTGGCCCGCGGCCCATGGGCAGGGACGGTCGGAGCCGGGTGCGCGGCGGCCCTGCCGCGGGGCACGGAGACTCAAGAGACGCCGCCCGACCAGCGCATCCCGTCCGCTCCCTCAGAGCGCTCGCCGCAGTGCACGCCGGGAGCCGTTGGCTGCCCGGCTAAGTCCTCGCACCCGAGGATGTCCGAGGAGACGGTGCGGCGCCGACGCGGCGGCGGTCTGCTAGTGAGGGGGGGAGGAGGGCCCGAGCGGATCGATATTCTCTCTGCGGAGGGGAAAGGGGACGACGCCCCACTCCCTGCGGCTGCGACAGGGCAAGGATGGGGTGGAGGGGGGGGGGGAAGAGGGATGTTAGTAACACGCAAGCGCACTGCTCTGGTGCGGCCGCACTGCGGTTGCCCTGGGTAACCAGGGCGGGGTGGGGCGGGGACAACGAGGGGTGGAGAACCCCAGCGGGAACGCGCGTGCGTGTGTGGGCGGGGACTCGAGCCGCCCGGTACGCATGCGTACGGTGCCCTCCTTCGTCTCCCCGCCCCTCCCCGGGGGATGGGGGCTGGCCGGCCTAGCGCGTGCGCAGGCGCGCCGTCCCCCGGAGGCGTCTGGGTGTGCGGAGCGCGCGCGCGCGGCTCGGAGGCGCACCTGTGAGGTGTCCCCCCCTGAGGAGAGAGGGCCGGTGGGCGCGCGGAGTCCGCGGCCTAGACGCGCTCCTCAGCCACACTTGGGAGTGAGTTGTCCCGGCCGACCGTAGTAGGTGTGTTTGGCTCTCTTGGCTTTTCAGGACGGGGCGTGGGCCGACGAGCGGGCTGGGGGCGGAAGGCGGTAGAGTCGGGGGGAAGCGGGGGAGTAAGAAAAGGAAAACAACCCATCCTTCAGCCGGGCCTGGGCCGCGGGCATGGCGGGGAGGGAAGGTCAGCGCGGTGCCAACTGCGGCGCAGGCCCTGGTCGGGCCGGGACGAGGCTGAAGAGGCCCCGCCGGAGCTGGACTCCGGGGCCCGACCCCATTGTTGTCGGGACCGAGGCGGGCGGGAGCGGGTCGGCTCTGGGAGCCGAGGGCCGCGCCCTGGAGCGCATTCAGGCGGGTCCCGGGAGAGCGGTAATGGCCGCGGGCCGGGACACGGGGCGGGGGCGTGGGGGGTCGCAGAGCGGTCCGCTGCATGGCTCTGTGTCGTGTCGTCTCCAGCCCTGCACAGTCCCGGCCGATGCCGTCCAGCATCCCGCCCAGGTGATGAGGACCTCCCCGCGTCGCCAGCGCCCCAGGCTGCTGCTGCTGCCGCCGCCGCCGCCGGACGCCTCCATTGTCTGACCACCGCCAGGGCTCGGCTCTCGGCAGGTAAGCCGGCCAGTTGCTGGGCGCAGCTCCCCTGCCGCCGCCGAGCACCGGGCCTCCCCTTGAGATGCTCTGACCACGACTCCAGCCAGATCGCCGGCTGTCTGCGAACTCGGCTTCTTTGTGAGACCTTTCTGGCCAAACTCCAGGCAAGTCGGTCTCGGGGATGCGTCTGCCGGATCGGGAGTTTAGAGTCCATTACAACATTACAACAAAGGAGCCCCGGGGTCGGAAGTCAGAGTCCTGAGCCAGTGCCTCCTTGCCAGGAACCTTGTGTGTCCTTTAAAACTTATATTGTTTTCAAGGGGAGGGGCTCTTAGAAGGGGATCTCTACTTACTCTGTAGGCGTGTACTTTCCCAGAGCAGAAAAGTAGTGACCTCCTTGTCTCCTCTAGAGGTCAAGATTTAGAAATTAATCGTAGATGAGCAGAGAAAGATGTTTTCTTGTAAAGGTGTATGGAGTCACAGATGACAAGTATGGAGTCACAGATGACAAGTGTAGCAGCCCATCTCTGTCGGAGATAACTATTCTGCACGTGGTTCGTACTCTGAGTCTTTATTTACATCTAAGGGCTTCACATTCTGTTGAGCACAAACTGGTTGTGTTGTTCCATTTAAGCACATAGTGCTTTAACTCGTCTTTTTAAAACTGTGGCCCTGGTGTTTGAGAGTTTGGTTCCATCATAGTTTAGCCATGTCCCATGGTGATGGTAAATGAAGTTTTAATTTCAAAGAACAGCTTTAAAAAAAAAACAAAACCAAAAAAGCCTGGTGACAGTTCTGCGGTAAGATGGAGTTTTATTGGAGGGAGCCACAGAGCCATGTTAGTTGTAGAATGGAAACATTTATGATGGAGGACCTTGATTAGGAATTTGCGAGAGGCCATCTCTGAGGTGACTGCAGACTGTTCTTTTGCCTGTGACCTTGAGGACACTTAGAGCCTCAGTTTCTCAGTGAGGTCTGTGGAGTGAAGCTATGTGAACGATGGAAAGTATAAAGCCCTAGACAGAGACTGGTTATTAGTTCTAGTGATTCAAAACCCACCAACTTGCAATGTACTGTGTATACTTTGTTTCATCATATGAGCATATTGTAGATTACTTATGACAGTCAACTTTAAAGCTTTTAAGTTTTTGATCCCATTACTATTAACTTTTATGGAATAGTGGCAATTCTGTGTTTTTAATGAATATCTTACAAGATACATTTTTCCCAATGCTTTTCTATTCTTAAAAAAAAAAAAAAAAGCACATTCATTAGTTGACTAGATCAGAATATCTGCAGTTAGCTTAATTAGCTAAACTCTTATTTCGCCATTTAAATAAATGTATTTCCTCCTGTTGTCCAGTCTCTGCATGCTGTCCTGTGGCTGCAGAAGACTGAAAGAGTTACTTTTAGTCCCATTCAGGAAAAGGGTCTCCTACTGAGTTTGTAGGTGTATCAGAAAGTTTTACTAGGCAAGATAGTGATGGAATGGGTACAATCAATTCAGTCAGTCCCTTTGTAGCTGTGCTTTTTGTTTTGTGTGTGTGTGTGTGGTTTTTGTTTGTTTGTTTTTGTTTGTTTTTTGTTCAGATGTATGTGAGTGCCTATAGCATGCCAAGAAAACCAATTAGTCCTGTTCTCTGGGAGTTTATAATCTGAAGAGAGAAAGAATGAGAGATTAATCTCAGAACTTCATGTCTAGTCACAGACTAGGCTGTCTGCTAGGAAAGTTAGGTAGCACCTGGTGTGTAAGAGAAGATAAAAATGAGAACTACATTTTAGATTGAGGACCCGGAATGACTTCCCCCAACCTCCTAAAAAAGGTTTACGCTGAGATTTGAGGGATGAGTAAGCCCTGGTGTCAGTGAAGTAGGGGATAATTTTGCAGCAGAGGAACAGTATGTGGGAAGGCCTTAAAGGGAGAGGAAGGAGTGCTCATTGTAGGAGCTAAGGCAGCACTGGGTGGTGGGTAAGGGGAGAGTATTACCTGACAGGACCACATTGTATTGAGTCTTACTTTAGAAATGTGCTTTTTAAATAACCTCTCCAGTTGCCACATGCAGAATGTGGGGGTGTGAGGTGGAGAGTGGAAGTGGGAAGACCACACTGGCCATCCCAGTGCTCTTGGGGGAGGGGCAGCCTGCTCCTTAGAGACTGTGAATTCACACCACTAGCAAAAGTGAAGCCAAAATAGATGCTTGGGTTTTTGTTTTTTTTTTTTTTTTAAGACCCAGTTTTTTCCTTTTAAGAGATGGGACTCAATAAAAGCAGGAGCAGAAATACTTTACAGGGCCTTCTAAATGCCAGGCACATTTATTGTCATTGGATTTAATGTTTCTAACACAAAAGGCAACACACAAACTTTCTAGAGGACATGTGTTTAATTCTCAGAACCTATATGGCAGCTCATAACTGTCTCTGTAATTCCAGTTTTTAAAAGAAAAACAAAAAAACATTAGACTAAGCATTTAGAAGTTTGCTGAAATCCCTGACAGCTCTAGGAACATCAGTATGAGTGAAGCTCTAACCAAATGGAGCAGAAGACTCCTTTTAAGCAGAGAAATTTGGTGTTTTGTACTGGGGATAGTGTGTTGGTTTTGAAAGTAGCAGCCTGGATAGATGTCTGTAATACCACTATCAAAGACACAAGCTTCATTCTATATTTATAAGATACAAAACAAATTAATTATGTGTTTGAATAAAAACAGAAAAATATCCAGAATAGCCCATGGAAACCATGATTACTTCTGCAGGGAAACACTGGGAGCCAGTTTTCCTTCTATAAGCTTTCTAATTTCCTGATGTCTACATGAACACTAACTTATAAGTTCTGTCATTTAACACAGATATCGTGTGTTCAGTGCTTAAGGGGTACAGCACCAGTGGGACATTCACATTCTTATGTTACATTGGCCATAGAGATGAAGCCTTACAGTACTCCTGTTTCTGACATGGGAACCATTAAAGAAATGTTTCTAAATATAATAAAAAGCTTTATACACAAAATATGTGGGACAATCTTAGGGTTTAATTATAGAATGGTGATTATTCATTCACTGGATAATCATTCACTGCCACTTAAAATGTATACCAAGGAAATATATCTGAAAGCTTATGACTGTTAAGTAGAGGAAAATCAGGAAGCACAGTTGCAAATACGATATAAACACACAAAAATTTCAGTAATCTCTCATTAAAACCTGTAAATGGAAAAAGTCTACAAGAAATTTGGTGAAAATGTTAAGAATTGTTGACTTTGGCTATTAGGATTTTGTGCTACTTAAACAATATCCTTTTATAGTTAAAAAATTACAATGGAATGTAGTTTTGCAGGTTACATTATATTGGGGGCTTGTTAGACACATGATAAAATATGGTGCACATTTATTTATTTATTGTGTTTTTATTTTAAAGTAGGGTCTCTTTGTGTTGTCTTGGCTGTTTTAGAACTCACTATGTAGGCCAGGCTGACCTTGAACTCACAGAGATCCTCCTGCCTATGCTTCCCAAGAGCTGGGATTAAAGGCATGCGCCACCACACTGTGTTGAATGTTTTTTTTTTAAACCATAGACATTTGGAAATTGCAATGCAAGTGGATGGGACTCATTGAGAAATTGTAAGCAGGGTAGGAAGAATCTGATGCTTTAGAAAGAGTACATTAGAGTAGTGGAGGGAGGCTTTAGGGAGCGGTGGCTGAAGTCAAAATGTGGTTAGAGAAATCTGGTAAGATAGAGAGGGTACAGGGCTTGTTAGGTGAGGCAGATGGTGCCTGGATTTCTGGCATGGACAGATGGATAGAGGGACCCACTTGACAAAATAGGTGCTATAGTAAGATTTGGCCTTGGACTTATAAACAGGTCACATAGTTTCTTCATGGAGGCTTTATGAGCATTCTTTGCTCTCTGAAGAGCAGTGTGCAAGTTCTTCATTGAAGTTGTTTCTTTGTAGTAATTAATTTGTTTTTGAAATATGATTATACGTTGCAAATTGTTTAAGTTGGGGCATGTCTGTACAGCTTAGCCTGCATTGTGGGTGTCAGATGGAATTACTACAGATGGCTTGACTGTGACTTTAGGTGATATTTAGGTGGGTAGGCTGGAGTTGCTTTGGGCATTAGTGGTCCTGCTTTTAGTCTTCTATGACAGTAGTTTGTCAGAGTGATTTCTATACTACTGATGAACTTGTAAGGAGGGGACAGAACAGAGGCAGAGTGGCACTCCGGCCATGCTTCCATGGAGCTGTGCCCACTTGACCCTTAGAGCTTAGAGGACAGATAGAGGTTTGGGAATTGGTCATTTTCTTTAAAGATCACATCTTTAAGAGCACATGAGCCCATGTGAAGCCCAATGAGGACTTACTAGCCAGAGCTGGGTGTTTATATCCTGGAGGACAAAGCCTCTGTCTGCAAAGATAAAATATTTAGGAGGGGAAGAAGAATGGGAGAGAGAGAGAGACAGACAGACAGACAGACAGACAGACAGACACAGACACACACAGAGAGACAGAGTATTAATGTGAAGGGCTTTCTGTGGTGCGCAGCATGAAGGTGAGTATTTTTTCTGGCCTTATGTGAGTGGCTGCGCTTTGCCCAGTCTTCTGTTTCTGGCCATCTGTGCTTATAGTTTCTCCTGTACTCCCTCTTCTGGTCGTGACCTGCATTTTCCTAGAATGAATGGCATTTTCCTAGAGTGGCCATGTCAGAAAGAGGATGCTGAGTCTTCCCAGCTAACCAGAGATGCAGCTTTGCTGATCAGCTATGGATTCTCCGGGAGGCACCAGTGACTTAGCTCAATGCTATTCCACTCCTGTTGCAGAGTAAAGTCCTTGAGTGTATGAGAGTCTAGCTCAGTGTCTGGAGAAAAGCAAGATGAGAATGCTCAAAGGTTTCTGGAATTAGAAGTGAGGAAATTTCAAGGGAGTGGGGGAGTGATACATTTAAATGGTCTGGAGGTGTGATAAAGGGAGCAGAGTAAGACAGTATTTATTGGTTGATGCTAATAAGCCCTGACTTAAAGTA